GTCCCGCAGAACTATACCTTGGCTGAAGTTCAATTGAACCGAAAATCCCCATTTGAAGGCAAAGTACTTTTTGGGTCTGGGACTTGAGAGCATTTGGTTTCCCTCCTCCATGTTTGTCCTGGCAAGCGGGATGTTGACGCACTTGACATGTTGATGGGAGAAACCAATAAAGAGGGAGCAGAGATGGTAAAATGCCTGGGGAATGTGAAACAGCAATTACAGGACTTAGGTTTTATATGTTTGAGCAGACAGGGGATCCTAAAAAGGATGAATATTAAGCGATAAACCTGTTGACACAAGGAGCTCTAGACCTTGCTGGATGATAGTGTGTGCCATGAGCCTTTGGTGACAGTGACGTTCAGGTGCTTAATTCAACGGGGCTCTTTGCTGTCCTTCTCTTAATTGCAAGCAGTCTTTTTTCCCTGGAGGCACTGAAGCTAACACCCTATAACATCTGCAGCGCTGGTTTGTGGCCAGTGTCTTTTAGTCACCTCTACAGTAACACAGACTGGGTGGGGAGACGACTTCGTCACTGCCTAGCTCTTGTTTCCTAGTCGGTTTTTTTTTGGCATTGAAACTCTTTCGTCAAGTTGATGGGTTCCTCTTGTGCTTCCACAGAAAATGTCCCACTATTAAAATAAAGTTTCTGTGGGATGAGGCAGTGCTGGTGTTTTGCATCCTCAACCATGGTCTGCAAGCCCAGAGAGCAGTTGTTTGTGCTGCTGCCTTGTCTTGCCTGCTGTACATTTCCTGGAGCGCTGCGCAGTACACGTGTGCTGCCTTCCAGCTTCACAGCCCGCTATGGTTATACCTTTCTGCAGCTTCACATGCACGGGCAAAGCCGAACTCATAAAATAATAGAAAAAACAGTATCAAGTTGCGTCAAAATCCTCTAAACTGAGGTTTGGAGAAAAGTCCATACGTTTTCCAGAAGCATTTCATCTGAGTGAAGCTATTTTGCATTCCTGATACCATTGATGACTCCTCTGATACCGTTCTGTATTTCTTCAGTATTATTTCATAGAATCACAGAATGGTTTGGGTTGGAAGGGACCTTAAAGCTCATCCAGTCCAACCCCTGCCATGGGCAGGGTCACCTCCCACCAGCCCAGGTTGCTCAAAGCCCCGTCCAACCTGGCCTTGAACACTGCCAGGGAGGGGGCATCCACAGCTTCCCTGGGCAACCTGGGCCAGTGTCTCACCACCCTCACAGTGAAGAACTTCTTCCTAATGTCTAATCTAAATCTACCCTCTTCCAGTTTAAAACCATCCTCCCTTGTTCTATTGCCACTGCCCTTTTAAACAGTCCCTCTGCAGCTTTCCTGTAGGACCCCTTCAGGAACTGGAAGGCTGCAATAAGGTCTCGCTGGAGCCTTCTCATCTCCAGGCTGAACAACCCCAGCTCTCCCAGCCTGTCTTCATAGCAGAGGTGCTCCAGCCCCTGAGCATCTTCGTGGCCTCCTCTGGACCCGCTCCAACAGCTCCGTGTCTTTCTTATGCTGGGGGCCCCAGATCTGGATGCAGCACTGCAGGTGGGGTCTCACCAGAGCAGAGTAGATCCAACCATGTGTGCTGTTTAATAGTCCAAAGTGGAAACCTCCCCACAGAAGAAATATAAGCTGATTATGACTGATCCTGCTGATGAATAACAAACCAGTGAGTGATAGAAAACCATGCTGCCATGGTGGAGAGCAACTCACTGCTTTCCCAAATCTCTGTTACAAAATGGCACAAAATATGGCCTTGGTGAAAGCCAGCAATGTTTGCTGGACGTTCTTTGCTGAATTTCTTGTATTTCTTATGAAAGAGGAAGGATTGAGGACTGAAGATCAATCCAGGATGAAAACGGTCTCCATGTCTCATATCTCTCTCTGTTTGTGAAGAGCTGGACCTCAGCTTAAGTCTTCTCCATCCCTAAAATCTTGTTTGAGGTAATCTGCAGAATCTTACTATCAAAGAAAGAGGATTTTTTAATGAAAAAAATTATACCCAAGGCAAGCAAGTAGGTCAACTAAGTAATTAAAGAAATGAATTAAAACGATGCTTGCATATCTGAATTTCTAAATGAATTGTCCTTTTTGACTGAAAAGTTCTCAAGTTTAACCAGAGATGGGATTTGAAAACTGTTATTAATTTCCTTCCCACCTCTGGTTTCAGTAATTTATTGGTTAATATGATGCTTCCAAAACTTAGTTTTAGACTGATAGTAAAAATAAAAGTTTTTTAGAATGTTCAGTCAAGTTTTCCTGCTTTAGAAGATGACTTTATTCATTATTTTGAGCTATTTTAAGCAGTTTTATTCTATTCATTTGGGTATCAAATATCTAATTCTTTAGTATTTATTAAATGTCTGTGTAATTAAGGTACAGTTTTGCCATTTCAGAGTTGTCTTTGTATTTTAAGCACTTTAGCTTTGTGAGAGCTGGTTTAGAAGACTGACCAAATTGCAACAATGACCTGTGATCAATTTGTTCAGTAGTTACACCTCATTTTCTAGGTTAATAACGCCTTCTGACTAGGATAGCTTTATTATGCCTTGCAAGATAGTTTGGGTTGGTAGGGCTTGAGAAAAGCTTTATTTTTAAGGTGGTTATTAGTCTCCAAAACAAACCTGTAAGAACTTTTTTGGACACATAATTCTTCTAAATGTGTTGTGCATATTTCAGACTACAAAGTGGTGAAGCTTAACTAAAATCCTACTCCTAACATTGTCATTATGTCTTATTTTTCAAAAGCACCGACATTTGAGCTGAATTTGGGCATTGACTGAGGTACAGAAGTTGGAACCTCAGCCAAGCCAGGTGCTCACATGAGACCTGACCTCCCTGCTGGAACATGCTGTATTTAAATTGGGGGGTTTATTCACAAATAGGTGCTTATATCAAGGTTCACCTCACAGTTCCTAATGTCAGTACAGTAAGAATACCTCTTTAGGGGGCTCATTGATTGTTCCAACCTCAGTCACCAACATACGCATTGGAAAGTAATGTCACTCTCCATTATTGCGGGAGTTCTCAATTCCTAGAAAATACCTCTCCTTCATTGCATTTTTTTCCCTCAAACATACTTACAAAGTATTATGTTTACCCTCTTTTTTTTTTTCATCTTTTCCAAGTTGTTATTAAATTGCCCTGGTTTGAAAACAAAGTGTGCAGGGAGATCTAATATATGAGTTACACAAACTAACATTCAGACAAAAATGAACAAATGTACAGACATACAAGCTCTTCGCTGGGTGTTCCCAGGTATTACTCTTTCTACCCTTTAACTTTTTGTGTGTGCTTATATTATCAGGGCCACAAGAATATAACAAAACTCATAGTATTTTGGTTTTAGACACTTTGTCAACTCTATTTGTTGACAAGGTCGCAATCACGATGAGAAAAACTTATCTACGCAGTTGCAGATAAGCAGGCACTTCTTTATTTGCAGCGCTGGGGAACACAGAGGGTAGCCCCTCAAAGGTGTGTTCCAACGCCCATACAATTTCACAGACTATTTATACATTTTCTAACAATAGCAGAATCATATGAGCATGCATAAGATGACCACCTTTTACTACTCCCCTTACCCTGATTGGTTCCCCGTTATCACCCCACATAAGACATTGAACTACCCCCATATGATTTTTGACATAGAGAGAAAAGAAAAGTTATGGCCCATTCTTCGTATACCCGTCTTAAGCACCTGTATACACATATCCCACCATGGCCTATTCTTCTTATACCCGTCCTGAACACCTGTATACACATATCCCTCCGTGGTCCATTATTCTCACTTTGTAGAGGTCAAAGTGATCTTTTAGCTCTAGTGCTAAGACAAAGGCCTACTTTAGCCAGCTAAAATTTCTTATGCCTTTAACATATTGAGGGCTCAAGCAACATCCACAGATCTCCCTCAGGTGTCCAAACCGAAAAGGATCATCTCTCACTGCCATCCAAACAATCTCTCTCACACCTGTATGTAGACACCCAGTCTGAACATCGCTCCTGTGGACAGCTGGATCTCATTCAGAGGATCCTGAGAAGGATCCAGTCTGGTTAATGCTAGCACCTACCTTGTATCTGCATTTTAGTCTCTTACTGAAGCAGTTAGCCTTACAGTAAGTGCCTAAGTACTTTGTCCAGTCCAAGGTAAAGGGAGGTACTTTTGAAGGCCTCTGGAGAGACAAACTTCTGTCTCTGATTTAAGTCAAATGAATGCCATTTGCAGTTCCTCAATCATCTTATTTTTCCATTTCACATAATTCTTTTTATTATTTGTCCTTTTTTTACTCGCCGTCTACATTAAAGCCTTTGCTATTTAAATGCATCCATTTCTTGAAGGTCCTCATTGAAATGCAGGTATATCTCTCCCACATCTTCTAAAATAATGAAGTGGCAGGTGACTGAGTAGACTTGATAACATAATCCGGAGCTTATGGCCTGAAAGTGCCTACCTCAGTGATGGTGCTGTGATCAGACTGATACTAATTTGATGTTCTTAGTTCGTATGTGTTTTTAGAAATGAACCATCAAAAGGAAAATCAGCGCAATTACTGGCTACTGCACAGTGTAACCTTAGTGGATACATTCAGAGGAGACACGGGAAACAAATTTTATTCATCCCAATTATATGACCCTGTCCTGAATGTGTTTTAAACGTTAGTTATCTTCTTTACACCCCCTGTTGTGTCAGGAAATAGTATTGCGCCTGGGCTTCACGCAGAGTTTAAATGACTTTTAATTCTACACTTCCCTTATAGAAGAGGCACAAACCAGGTTTAATTTTCGTGAACTATAGGTTGGTGCTTTTGCTGTATTCTCTGTACTCCAAGATAGAGGGGTGAGAGATGCTATTTGGGGACTGTAAGAGGTGGTTCCCAGTTTATTGATGTCTTGGGAGTGAAATGGAGAATTTAATCTCCTAGCAAGGTACATCCCAAGCTCCATGTACATTGAAAATAGCTTAGTTTTTTTATGGTTACACACTTTAATTAACCCTTTTTCTTCTCCACGCAGGCATGAACGCTTTACAGTTACAGAATTTGGCAACTTTAGCAGCCGCAGCAGCCGCCGCCCAAACCTCAGCTACCACCACCAATGCAAATCCTCTCTCCACAACGACTGGTGCTCTGGGAGCCCTCACGAGTCCTGGTAAGAGCAGAGCCCTTGCTTTCAAATGAGAATAAATGGGAAAATTATAGTTAAAACAGTGATTCCAGCTTGTGTCTAAGTTCTGTGCTCATATAAATTCTGAAGACCCTTTCAGTAGCCAAATACAGTTTTGAGCAAATAACGGGTTTTTCAAGTGGTCCAATGTGGGCATGTTCGCCTTTCCAGACTCATTTCAGGGGCCATTAAAGGCTAATGGACCCATCTTAGAAAACTATACACGAAAATTGCAATTGCATGGAGAAAACTTAAGCTAAATTATACTTTTCAGAAAGAATTCAGAACATGAGTCAAAACTTCAAATCTTGCAGAAAGATCAACCGAGGTGGTTCTTTTTTAATCCCCGAGAGACTGATCTTTGATTCCCAGTACATCAAGCACATATTGCCTTCACTCATCATGAATTTTTGTGAAGTCCTCTCTTTTTTACCTTCTCTTTTTCTTGCTGTAGCCTCAGTTGATCTTTCTTCTGGTCTTAACTGAAAATACAGTTACAGAAGTAATATCAGATGCACAAAGAATACACAGCCAGAATCTGACTGAGCAGAAGGCAGATTTATGGGGAAATAAGGGGCAGGATAAGTTGTGATGGTGCCTCCATGACCACCATGTAGACTCTCAGCCATTCACAGCCCATGTCTGCAAAATGCTAGAGAGATCAGGGCAAATCCAGCATTCAGTAACACTTCAGCATCTCCTGAATCCACGGAGAGAAATGTTGGTTCAGTGTAGTTACTCTGGATTTACAGTGATGGAGCCAAGTCAAGAATCTGGCCACTTATCTTTACATAAAGACTGCAGGGTGTAATTATTTGCATCATGAAGTGTGTTTATTGCAGTTCTAGAAAACATTTGTATTATTTTAGACACCACTAAAGAACATTTGTGTTTAATCTTGTTTAAGTGTGTATTTATTTCCCATGCAAAAGTAATTCATGGCAGACGGTTTGAGCTCATCAGTAAGGAAAACAGTCTTCACTGCACAATAGAGCTGGGACTGAGCGTGGTGCTGGGTGTTAAAGCTGGCCAACGCTTCCTGTTATATTATGGTTTTATTGTTTGTTTGGGGGAGAGGTTAAATGGAAGGCAGCTTGGCTAAATACAAAGTTTGTACAGCATTTTCCTGTTTCTGGTGTGAGTCTCATCTCGACCTAAAAATACTATTCATTCCCAGCAGCTCTGAGAAGCAGGTTGGGTGAAAATCATTTTGGTTTGCTGATATGTTTTTTTAAAGCTGAGCATTCTCTTCCCTCCATCCTAGAGCTGGGACTTAACGCTTTGCGAAAGGCTCACGTCAGTGGCAGTGCTTCTGTGCTGCCCCTGTCTAAATGTCACTCATTTATAGCAGTGGAAATGTTGCATTTCACACTTGCTCTGTAATATCTCTGCTGTTAAATGTCTGAGCAGCCTGGTCTCCCAAAGCGTGCTCAGCATTTCTCCAGCTGTCCTCGCAGGACTTCTTGGGACAGCCCAAAGTTCTGGAACGCAATGCAGAGGAGCTACAAATGAACTTTCCTTGTCATTGATGCTCTGCAGGGCAGTGGCACCAGGACCTCAGGCAGCAGCGTGTTTCTGTCTTGCTCTTTCTCTTGCCATGTTAGCACAGGACTCAGAGTCATCTTAAAGTCCACAATTTTCTCTCTCCTGCTTCAACACCATCTTCTTACCCAGCCTTGGCTGACTTGCTGTTCCCTCTTTTTACCTGGTCTGGAGGCTCCTTAAGCACCCCAAAGGTGCTTTCAACTGGTACCCAAGTCTGCAGAGGCACGTGGTTAGGAAGGTGCTTCAGCTGGGCTGAGCAGATACTTCTTTGGGATAATGAGAGCTTAGTATTCCTTAGGGTGGTGTTATAGAGCAGATATCAAGGTTCTTTTAGAGAGATTAATGATATTGGCTAACACATTGAAGATGTGTTATTCTCAAAAAATTCTGGACATTAAGCCTTTGAAATAGTGTGTTCACACAAAGACAATTGCTTCTGAAAGTCTTGTAGATAGTAGCTGTACACAAGTGTTTTGGATGTTAGACAGCTTGGTGGGTCAAAGAGAAAGTCTGTATCTAATATCCATTGTCCTGTTTATGTTGCACAACCAACCTAAAATCTTGCCTTGCTGAAATGTCCTTCAGTTTAACCTTTCTTATCCGGTTCCACATTCTCCACCCTATTAAATATTTTGTAAACCTGAATAATATCTTCAGTGATTCTTCTCTGCTCTGTGGATAATGAATTTAGGTCGATAAAGCTTTTCATAGTAGCTCAAAGTATTTCCATTAAAACTTGAAATATGTTGGCAGAAAACATTTAAATCTGCCTTTCAATGTGTGGATATTTGAAGGCCTTGAGGGTATTTTTTTGGTCTAGTTTTCTTTTAATAGAATGCTTCAGTTTGTTGTGTTGCATAAGTGTAAACTATTTTGTCTGATTTCTGTGCACTAAGCCCAGGAAGAAATGTTTGTCTCTCTCCAGATAATGCATTGAATTAATATTTCTCAGTTCAGAAAACTGTCCAAATTTAGGAGAGTGCAAAGGTTCATGTTTAAATTTAATCCTTTTCTTGGTGCTGTTAAAGCCAAAATACTGCACGAAACAGGAGTTGGCATGAGCATGTACTTCAATATGCCTTAAACCACAGCAACCATATAAATCATCTCCATGTTTCTACCCATATATAACTATATCTCTCCTGAAGATCTCTTCTGAATCAATCTTTGACCAAGAGCTCTCGTTCTGTACTTTATAGCCGTGTGTCATATGAGCCCCAAAAGTTGGTTACTTCAGTTGAAATTCATCTTACTGCTTTATTTTAAATAGATAAGATTTAGCAACCTTCAGCGCATCAAACTATCACAGAGGGGTGGCAGTGAGATCGACTTGGATTGGCAAAGCAGAAAAACAGGTCAGGAAGTAAGGAACCAACAGAGCATCTGATATTTGAGGATGTCAAGTTTTGCTGCTGGCATCTAATGACAGTATATTCAAAACCAAGAGAAAAACATTCAGCATCTAGGAGTGACTGATCAGTCTGTATGAATCCTTCTTCAAGGTTCACGCCATCACGTATTTCCAAACAAATTAACCTCCAATGATCTTTCTCTGCTACGTTCTTACTAAGTAGCTTTGACCGCAAGAGTAAGGACACTCATTCTCCTCCATGTGCTAAATACTTTCTCTTCAGCTTGAAACAGTATTCATTCAGAAAGAACAGAGACAATGCAATCCCCTAAACTATTAATTTTTTTCTAATTGTAAATTTATAATTTCAATTTTGCATACCCATGGAAGTCTCTCCCTACAGCATTGTTAGAAATGATTTTTTAAAAGCCTTTGCTTAAAAAAAACATGAAAGATTAAGCTTTCATTTTAGTAAAAATCCCCTCAGGCAATAAATAGGTTCTTTTGTCTCTTGGCCCTGGAAAAAAAATTAAAATGGTTTAAATTGCCCATGGTTAAAGTAACTGTTTCTTGCAATTATCAGATGGTAGTGAATAAAAATGAAAATGAATTCATAAAAGAATAAAAACCAGGTAAATGCATATTATGTCTTTCATGAGTTTCTCATGGGTCTTTTGAAAACTCATTTAATCATCTTTCTTGTCTTCTATTTTGATATGATAATTGTTTCCTTTATTTACTTTAATCACCTCTATTTAGTTAATTAATTCTTCGCTTTCTTTTCGTTTCACTTGCTTAGAATATTTTCCTGTTTTAAAGGCAGGTACCTGTAGTATTTCATAGCACAAGGATTTGGGCTGCGGTCGCATTTACCAGAGTTCACGTTGTCTGAGCCACTTTGTCTCAGCTCCCTTTTGGTTGGGCCCTGGAAGTTTGCACTTCCCATTAACTGGGAAGGGATTTTGGAGGGACTGCCTCAGGTGTAGGTATTGACATTGTGAATTCCTCATTTTAGGCAGGGTGAATGTCAGCTGAGTGTCAGGAACTTTGGCCCCTCCTCCAGAGACTGTCGTTCAGAGTCACAGAATACTGGACCTCGAAAGATCATCCAGTCCAACCCCTGCCAGAGCAGCATCACCCAGACCAGGTCACACAGGAACGCGTCCAGGCGGGTTTTGAATGTCTCCAGAGAAGGAGACTCCACAACCTCTCTGGGCAGCCTGGTCCAGGGCTCTGTAACTCTCACAGTAAAAAAGTTTTTCCTTATGTTCAGGTTGAACCTCCTATGCTCCAGCTTGCTCCCATTGCCCCTTGTCCTGTCATTGGACATGAGAGAGAAGAGCCTGGCTCCTTCCTCCTGACACTCGCCCTTTACAAATTTATGAACACTAATGAGGTCACCCCTCAGTCTCCTCTTCTCCAAGATAAAGAGACCCAGCTCCCTCCGCTGCTCCTCATAAGGGAGGTGCTCCACTCCCTCAGTCATCTTTGTGGCTCTGCGCTGGACTCTTTCAAGCAACTCCCTGTCCTTCTTGAACTGAGGGGCCTAGAATTGAACGCAATATTCCAGATGCAGTCTCACCAGGGCAGAGTAGAGGGGAAGGAGAACCTCTCTCGACCTACTCACCACAGCCCTTCTGATACACCCCATGATGCCATTGGCCTTCTTGTCCCTGAGAGCGCATTGCTGGCTCATGGTCATCCTGCTGTCTGCCAGGACCCCCAGGTCCCTTTCCCCTGTGCTACTTCCCAACAGGTCAGTAACACCTCCTTGACATGTCCTGCAAATGGATCAACTGGTAAAGAGCTCACAGGGAGGCTGCTCTTCCAGAGCCTGCAGAGATTTATGGTTAATTCAGTGGGTGGTGGGAAGGCCTGGAGGTGGCTGTGAAGGAGGGACATACAAGCTCAGGATCAGAGTATTTGTCTCTAACACTGTCTGGCATAATTTGACTCAGTTAACCTGCTACCCTAATTTTACCAAGGACAGTAATGTTCATTCTGACTGTCCTGGGTGGCACAAGGTTGATATGGCACTGTAAAACATTTCCTGGTATCAGGAGCTATGAAGCTCATGATGTTTTAGGAA